GCAGGCCACAGGTTGGAACCACAGCTCCAAGGCTTTACTTCTCGACCAAGACTTGAAATCCATGGGCCATTGAGGCCATGCAGCCAATTTGCACATGATTACATGCATGGCATACTGCAGGGGGTAGCGCCCATGGTGTTATACCAGTGGCTGTGTGCCATGGAAGAAGGTTTCCAAGTATGGTCTGGCTTGGAGGCTTACTTCCAATTTTGGGTTTTCCCAAGAGCTTGGAAGTGCCAGCATGTTGGAACATATTTATCCAAGAAGAAGATGACAAGCCACAACAACAATCAACAGGTTTCAGTCCAAGCTTCAGAGTGTTCAGCCATATAACCAATTGTGCGCCAGTTTGCTTACAACGTGGCATTGCCCAATGGCCTCCAAGCTCCAGCTTGCCAGGCTTTGCTGGCAATGGCATCTCTCATTGACCAGGTCCACGATGGAAACCTTGCTGGCATCATTAGCAAAGGCACTTTATTGACAGCCATAGAGCTGGCCATACAGTGCTTCCAGGCTGCCTTCCCAGAAGTGTCATTGATAAAGAAATGGCATTGGCTGCTCCATATGCCAGATAGACACCAAAGATTTGGCTTCCTCCCATCATGCTTTGCCAATGAAAGAAAGCGCAAGCCAATCGGCCAACTGGCCACTAAACAAGAAGAATTTTGAAACAAATCTCTTGGAGCAAGCTCTTGCCAAGGAGACCTGCCACTTGGACCAGCCACAGTTGTTCAAAGATGGTGTGCATTTGGTTGACCCCATCTCAGCTTCCAAGAAAAGTTTGCTAACTTTATCCAATTTGATTGGTGAGCCAATTGGAGAGGCCAAGAGCAGCCAGTGTGCCAAAGTGAACCATATGAGCTGCTTCAAGGATGACATTGTCATTTACCAGGCAGGTGAGTCCATGGGGATTGCAGAAATCCAGTTGCATTTCCTATTGCGTGATGTTGCCACTACCTTGGTGAAGTCTTGGCTGGTCAAAGAATGGCTACCGCATAAGCAATGTGCAATCGCTGGGATTTGTACCCACAGCAGAGCCTGTGATTTGCCACAAAAGCACAGGCGCAGCCAAAGTGCTTCTGCCTTACCCAATCTATTCCCAAATGCTGAAGAAAAGGATCCTAAGCAAAGTCCATGCGCTTGCTGGTTTTGTCTCTCTAAGCGCCAAAATTGGCTCTATGGCATTTCATCAGGCCAGTGAACGCATGAAAAGTGGCAATGCAATAGTCGCCTGGCTTGGCATTTTATCAAACCCAGCAAAGTGTTCATGTAGGATGGGTTGGTATAGGTTATTGGAACATTTTGATATGAACAATTAAAAGGCTTGAAATGTGGCATTTCCATCAAAAGAAACATTTTTCAAAACCATGTGATTTATTCGATGTAAATAAGAGCCACCAGCTAAAATCAAGCAGCTGGTAACTATATTGTTTCTTTTCAAAGCTTATGTTCTGTACCATATGACCTTTAAAAAGTGACTTGTTAACTCTTCCTAACTAGTTATATTTATTTAATAATTTCATCATAGTTTGGTTAGCTCTACTGAACATGTTATAAAAAACAGATTATTTAAGTAGCGATGCCCTTTGTTCCTAGTAGCTTCTTGTTCCTAGTAGCGATGCCAGGAGCCCCTAGTAGCTTCTTGCCCCTAATAGCGATGCTTTTTGTTCCTAGCGACGCCAGGAGCCGCTAGTAGCTTCTCGCTCCTAATGGCGTTGCCCTTTGTTCCTAGTAGCAAGCATGCTCCTAGTAGTAAGGCCAGGAGCCCCTAGTAGCTTCTTGCTCCTAATAGCGATGCCCTTTGTTCCTAGTAGCTTCTTGACCCTGTTGGCGAAGATCACTACCCAGCAAGATCGTTGCGCACCCCCTCCAATGGGGCCAAAAAAGTGATCCGATGGTGCCATCTACCCACCCTCCCATTCTTTCCGAGTTGTTCCTGACACTTTGAAAGTGCTGTATGTGCTTCTAGGTTAGTTTTAGTTTCCTATAGTCTTCATTGGACAAATGGGTCAAGGTGCGCGGAGAGAAGAAAACGGACTGGCCAAACAATTTCAAGTTCAGTAAAAGAAACCCTTATGTCAGTAATGACGACGATTTGGATTTACTCACTGACAACTGGCTTTTTATAGAAACCTGACCGAAAGCAGTATTGAAGATGACGAATACGAAACGGCGCAGAAGAGATGGGAATACTTCGGTATAAGAAACCTCGGGCAATACCATGACCTATGCTCAAGAACTGGTGTTTTGCTATTGACAGATGTGTTTGAAAACTTCAGAGATTTATAGAATAAACTCTAGGAAAACGCAAATTCGCACCAAGCCTTGTTCCAGCAAGGATGTGTCAGCCTTTAGGCTCCATCCATCAAGCATTCGTTCTCGTTAGGTCAGAGGGTTTCCATGGTAGTTGTCACCGGCTGCAAGTTTGCTAACTAAGTTACAAGCGGGGAATCCAGTTTGCGCGAACTGTACAGACTTGGGACCGACCTAAACTAACCGGGTTCGGGTTGAATGTCTCCGCAACTGGTATTTGGCTCACGGTGTCCAAAAAGGTGCGAGGGTTATGGCACGCACGCATTCATATCGACTGCAGGCGCTCACCACGCATTTTGCGCGGTTATCAGCCGTATAGGCTTACAACTACGCACCGGACTTCGCGCAGCTTCACTTGTTTCCGTTGTTGCCAGTGTGGCGCTAGAACTTGGCGAAGAGGCCGTAGAGGATTGTCGCAGAAGGAGAGTTTTATTGCGCAAGGTCTTGAGTGTGGTGCATTATTGAACGAGTATCCATACATTGTTGATCAGAACTTCATTGACGCTTCGAGGGCATCAGTCAGGTGGAGTGTGATCGGACAGGAGGAGGAGCAGTGGGAGGAGAACGCAGAGCAAGAGCCACCGAAGCCGCAGGTTGGACCCAAGGTGTCAGCCTTCAAGTCGAAGTTTCCTACACCCCCTCTTCATCACCGGGGTGGGGCGAGGTCATCTTTGTCGACGCGTGTGTTTCCAAAGGTTACCGTCTGTCGTAGAGCTTTACCCGTGCCGCCGAGGCCAACGCAGGCGGAAGTTGAAGAGAGCGTTGTTGTTCCTGCGCCAAAGGCACCCCCAGTTGCCAAGACCTCTCAGGCACCGACGCCAAGGGAGTCAGAAGCAGTTGTTGTGATTGATCCTGCGCCTGAAGAACCCTGCCAAAGTTCATCCTGGCAGTGTAGGGAGTTTCAGCAAGCGTTGACGTCAGAGGGTGTTAGGGCTTTCGGATCCTCAGCCGTTGAGCCCAAGTACTTCTTTCCATCGAGTTCCACAGGAGAATATGGTGTTGATCAAACGGTTGAAGCAGCGTTTTGGGCCTAATCTTGTGATTTGTGTAGTTTCGCGCTCACACTGAAAACTTTGTGAAGAACGAGACGGAGTTGATTCGAGCTTGCAATCACAGGAGGGTTGGAAGGGCTCATTGATTTCGTTTTGATTGCAAGAAGGCATATCGGCGCCTACGGAAAGCGCGCGCAGTCACTCAAAGGAAGTGCAGAGGTATCATCATTGGCGACAACTACGAAGTGATCAATGAGTGTCAGGCATACATTCATAGCGTTCACTTGAAGCAAAAGAAGCCCGTGGCCAACGGTGCACGCATGGTGAAGAGTTTCTTGGAAGAGTACGTTCGTGACAAAGTTCTCAAGCATTTGCGACATGGCTCAATTCGAGTCCAGGATCGATATAGTGAGAGCTCAGACCGGAAGTGGAAGAAAGATCTAGGTCGGATCGGGGTAGGGTCGCAGCCGGGGCAACCAGGATCGCAGTCTCGTCGTCTGACACATTGTTTTCAGAATCGATGTCGCATTCCACGCCTGAAGATAGAAGGCGGGAGGTTCGCCGGAATCCAGCCCACAAAGTCCCAGTCATAGCCCGAGTGCGGTCTTTCCAAGTCCCAACCAAATTAAAGTCCCGGTACTTCGTTTTTATCAGGTCCGCCCAGCTTCTCCGACGCCGGTCCTTCGACCGGCTGGCCGCGCCCGTCCTCCTCCCCTCCTCCTCTTGTCCTGCTCTTGTCCTCTGGCTGCCTTTTGTCCTTCTCTTACCCTCATCTTGGCCTTCAATATTGTCTCCTCTTGTCCTCTCGTCCTCCTCTTGTCCTTTGCTTGTCCTCCTCTTGTTCTCCTCTTCTGAGCGCGCCGAAAGCCGCGCCAGCCTGTGTCCTTGGCCTGATGTTTTTTGGCCGCGCTGAAAAAATCCTGTGTTCTCCTCTTTTCCTGCTGTTGTCGCGGACTCTGGAACGCTCAGCGCGCCCTTGGGGAGCGTGCTTTGGAGCGCTTGCTTCAAGTTGCCCGCGCTCCCTTGCCCATCCAATTTTGCCGCATGCTTCTCAAACATGTTTGGGCGCGCTCGGGGAGTGTGCTTACTTAAGGACGCGCGCTCCGGCGCACTCTGCTGGCAGCGCGCTCTGGGCGCGCGCGGCAGTGTTTGGAGGGCGCGTTACAGATGCGCGCTGGAACGCGCTGGCAGCGCAATTTGAACGGTGTTCTCGTCCAGTCTGGCGAGCGCGTTCTTTAATTCGTGTTTAAGCGCGCTCCAGGCGCGCCCTGTGAGCCTTGCCGGGTGTGTGTTTTGCAGCGCTTGGGAGCGCGTCCCAGCTTTAAAGACTGAAGGACTATCAAGCTACCCGCCTAGAAGAGGAAAAGTTCCGTGTGGCTTTTTACACAACCCAAACAGTTTACTGTCCTGTGGTCGCAACCAAAACAGTTTTACACAACCCAAACAGTGGTCGCAAACCCCGTGTCCTTCTTTTGTTGTTTGTCCAGGTCTGCTTATCCTGCAAGCGTTTTTTGTTTAGGTGCAGTTCCCAAACAGCTGGAGGCTTCAAAAAATATGCTTGCATCCGTTTCCACTAACATTGGAATTTTCGATGTTGACGCCGACGCCGACAAAAATGCTGACGCTGTTTGGGGTCTATGCTGGTGTAAATTTCATTTTTTTTCATTTCGTCTTTTCGTGTCTTTCGGCTTCCAGGCGCCGGACGTTCTTCGCGGAGCTGCCGATGAGGTGCGAGCGAAGAGAGAGAGAGAGAGAGAGAGAGAGAGGAGAACGTGAAAGAAAAGAACGCGTGAAGATAAGTTACTATAAAGGTAACTTTATTATAAAATAGTGTGAACCATTTTCAGTACAGGTCATTGGTTAGATGTATTTCTGGATTGACATCACAGAATGACAGAATGTAGAGTTGAACCTACTTCAGGTCACTGGGATCCCGGGTGCTATTTAGAGCCATAGATTTGGGGCCTTTGGAACCCAAATAGCTGTGACTGTTGAATATTTGTTGTGAGCAACACTGTACTCAGTACATTGTGTCAAAGAGACATTAGTACAAGGAGAAGATGGAGGAGATCAGAGAAAGCCTTCAAGCTATATCGCAGAGTAGTACGCTAGCAACAACACCAGCAGCTGCGGCAGCGAAGGAGGCAGTTGAGGACAAGAAGTCATCAACAACAGATTTGTCAGCGAAGCGCAACATAATTGACTACAAGTCACAGGATGAAGAGATCAAGCCATTTCGAGAGTGGTCATGGGTCTTTGAGAATTTTTGAGCACAGTTGACGCAAGCTACGTGAAGGACTGACGCAGAGAAGACCGGGTGCAGCACGCTCTATGGATTATTGGGCTTCGTTGATGAGAGGAAGGGCGCTACACCTGGCAAAAAAGGTGGAGGGTTCTAATGGTTTGAGCGCCTGAAACAATCTTCAAAGGCAAGAGGCTTAGCATTTTTTGGAGCGGCCACTACATGGCCAGCATTTTCAATGAACAGTGCGCTACAGCCTCAACTCTTGAAGCATTTGATGACAATTCAGGAAGACTTGAGATCTGCTATTCTTTTGAGATGTGTAGGTGGACAATTCAAATCCTACTTGAACTTGACGATTGGTGACAATGTTCAACACTCAACTTTGAGGGAACATGTGCTGCAATGGGACGTAGCAGTACAGACTATCAAGGACCTATGCCAATGGAAGTTGATAGAGTCTAAGATGCCAAAGATAAAGGTAAGAAGGGCAAGAATGGCCATCGGACAGGCACAGGTAAAGATGCCAAGGGCAAAGGAAAGAAAGGGAGAGGGAGATCAAAAAGGAAAAAGAAGGGTGATCACAAGGGTAAAGGCACAGACCGACAAGGCAAAGGTGTGGCAACATGTTACACTTCCGAGAAGCCAGGACATCTTGCTAAAGACTGTTGGAGAAACAACGTTTGACAGGTAGCAAGTGACTAGACCTATTCATCTTCTGGAGGAGCCTCTGTTACGACTCATACAGTTGGCCAACAGCATGCCAATTTGAGCCAACAGAGTAGCTCAGCCGAGACCAAGCCAGTGGTCAGGAGAATTGAGAATAGTGAGCCAATCATCTTTGACTTGAGAGAAAGAGATGATGGGCTAGAAGATCAGAGAATCAGAGTGATCTTCAGTTCAAAGGTGAATCAGCCCATACTTTGCTGTGGAAGATTGATGGGACATGGTTGGGCAACCAACAGCAGAAGAGAACATGTTGGAGAATGGCGACTCGAAGTTGTGGCTAGTGCCTGAATATTGCGAGAGTATCACGAAAAAGGAGGAACTTGATGAGCAATTCTTTGATGATGGTGCAGTCATTTCTTCAATCGCAATCTTCAGCTATGAGCCAGCGCCGCCAGAAGAAATGCAGAGAAACTAAGCAGTGGAGCAGGCCATCGAGAAGATTACCCCTACTCCACCGGAGAAGGAGGTAGAAGGTCAGAAAGAAGATGAAAAGAAAGCAAAGAAGATGACCTTGAATGTGAACTACAATTGAGCCCAATGGATGTAGATAAAGTCTTGTTGGAGTAGAGTTGACTAAGGACTTATCTTTGGCAACTCTGAGGGCAGCTTCTTCATTCTCCACATTTCAGGCAGTGGCTCTAAGCTAAAGGTCTACACCAAGGTCCTCAATCGCAACAAGAAGATGGAGTTGTTGAACGCCAAAAGCTTGGTGAGTGAAGCAAAAACTCAGGGCATCAGGACAAACTGTTGCAAAGATGCCAGATGAAGCAGTTCAAGCTAGGCACAGGTTGACGCACATGCCCTATGCCAGTTGGTGAAAGGAGTGCGTTGAACATCGAGTGCGTCCAGATCGCCGTGAGAGAACAGATGGAGTAAAGAGAGGAAGTATTCCTGAGGTAAGCCTTGACTTTTGCTATACAAGAGCAAAGGAATCAGAGATTAAGTCAGCCAGAGCAGCATGTTGGCTAGTTGCAATTGACAGCCACACTGGATTCAGTCATGTTGCGCCATTAGAAAGGAAAGGTCGCTTTCGTCTCATTGCGCAGGGGTTGATGAACTTCAGTCAAATGTTGGGGTACTCAGCAATCACTCACAGAAATGGTAATGAACCTACAACAAGACAAACCCCCAAGATGCTGATCAATGCTTGCCACAGTCTAGGACTCACTACCAGGTTTGTCAACTCAAAGCTAGATGATCATTGACTTCTGTCAGAGAATGCAGTTGACAGATTGAGAAAGCTTGCAGAAACATTCATTGAAGGTGTGCAGTCCAGACTTGGTATCAAGATTGGATCAGAGCATGCACTTTGGATTTGGGCAGCAAGACGCGCCAGTTGTGCGCTGAATAGGTTTCAGCCAGTCAAAGGCGCAATTCCTTATGAGCTTGTCTATGGCAAGAGCAACAAGGAACTTCTAGCAGAATATGGAGAACCAGTTCGCGGTTACACCAAGAGCCCCAACAAAGGAGAAGCAAGATGGCGCCTATGCCTATTCCTAGGAAAAGTTGGAAGGCAAGACGCCTATGTGCTTACAGATGGAGCAGGTAGTATTCAGCAAGCGCATTAGAAGAACAGATCAAGATTGGTCCAAGTACTTACCCACCTACAAAAGCTTCAGTGCTTTTCCACGGGGGTATCAAACCAATTTTGGTGGCAGGATTATTGCCGCCAAGAGGAGAGCAGCTGCATTACCAGCAGCGCAAGCAGGCATTCCTAGAGAACATGTAACGCTGAAGTTTAGAGATGAAGACGCAGAAGCAATGGAGATTCCAGTTCCTCTGGAAATCCTTGCTGAAGCAACGAAGAAAGATGTAAGTGAAAAGAAGCCAAGTGGGGAAGAGACACCAAGTAAGAGGCAGACAGTTTTCTTTACAGATGAGACGACATTTGAGAAGGTGAAGGCGTTTCCCTCTACATCACTGCCAGCCAAATCCAATCACTCCCATCCTATCTTCATTGAGATCACTATCAGCGCCGCCAAGACCAAGAGAAGCATTTGATTTGCTTGAAGAGGAAAGCCCCACGCAGAAACTCAGGCCATCAGATGATTCAAGCAAGAAGGCCAAAATCAACATGGTGAAAGTTGGAGGAGCGAATATCTTTACCATGTAGACGACGAGCTATCCCCAGTTGCAGAAGAAGTTGATGAAGAAGAGTGGGGTGAAGAAGAAGATGATTCAGACTTGGAAGAGCTCAATGGACCTGAATGTTTGTGGGGTGATGGAGAACATGAACCAGAAGGAGACCCAGAAGAACGGATTGGCAGAGTAGCTGGTGAAGTGGAAGAGAAAAGATTCCAAAAGATGCAAGTGCTAGAGAAGCCAGAAGGAAGCAGAAAAGGAATCAGTTACCTGACAACGCGCAATGTGTATGACTGGAGGAAGAAACCATACCAACTTGGAGATGGAATATCAATCAAAAGGTGGAAGAGAAGATCAAGACTAGTTGCAGGGAAGTTGCTTTTGCTGAAGGAAAGAGAGATGACATTTTCCCACCAGCGACATGTACTGAAGCCTTTACCCGCAATATTCTCGCAGAGGATCAGTGAAGAAGATGAGGCAAGAGAGGGGGCAGGAGCTTTCTCACAGGTGCTAGGATGTCTTGATGTGAAAGACGCATTCCTACAAGTTCCACAAGAAAAGCCACTGAAAGTGAACTTGACACGAGAAGAGTTGTTGGTGAGAAGAAACATACTTGGACAAAGAGTTGGAGCGAAAGCATGGTTTTGCTTTTTCGCAGAGTACCTCACAGCGGAATTCAACTACAAGTTCAGTCCTCAGTGTCCACGCCTAGGAAGAAATGAGAAGCGTATCATTTGGGCCCATGTGGATGATTTGATTTTCACAGGAGACTCAAAATACATCTATGAAATCCCTTCTCCAAAGGTTCAAGGCAAATTTGACGCCAGTGTGAGCAAGATTGAGATTGGTAATGAGTTCAACCCCAAGCAGTTTTGTTCAAAACCGTTTTTCTGTAGATGGGTGGAGTCGGAGGGAGCCATGTTCGAGCTTGAACTTTTTTGTCTCCTAGCTTTTGGCAGCGGTGTTCTTTGCGGCTGTTTGGTGGCAATGATGACGCGCGCTCGAAATCATGGTCGCAAGATGAAGACTTCAGACTTGCAAGAGCAAAAGTGATTTGCAGGACAAGTCTGAGGTCGTCGGACCTGCTTGCGTCTGCGCGGTTTCGGGTGCGCAGTTTGCGCAAGTGCCCGCGCATTACTAGAGCGCGCCTGAGATGGAAACGTTGATGGCGCAATTAATTTCAATTTTGTCTTGGCATGAGGACGCTTGCAGGATGCAGGAACTTTTCGTTGAAGGTTTCTCAGTCAAAACCTGTTATTAAGATTGGACTAGATCATGCACTTTGGACTTGGGCAGCGAAACATGCCAGTTGGGTGTTGAAGAGGTTTCAGCTAGTCAAAGGTGCAGCGTGCAACTCCCTATTGGGCTTGTCTATGGCAAGAGTTTCAAAGGACTTCTAGCAGAATACGTCAAGAGCCTCAACAAGGGAGAGGCGAGATGGCGTCTATGCCTATTCTTGGGAAAAGTTGAGAGGCAAGACACCTATGTACTTAGAGACGGTGTGCAGGTAGTGCTTAGCAAGTGCGTCAGGAGAACAGATCAAGATTGGTCCGAATACTCACCCACCTACAAACGCTTCAATGCCTTATCGCGGGAGTATCAAACCAACTTTGGAGGCAGCGTCGTTGCCGCAGAGAGAAAAGCAGGAGCATTACCAGCAGCGCAGACAGACATTTCTCGAGAACGTGTACTGGTGAAGTTCAAGGATGAAGATGCAGGAGCAGTAATGGCAAAACCGCTTGAAGGAGGAAGTGGTTCAGAGAAAGAAGAACCATTGTTCCCAGAACCATTGTGCCGCGCTGGAAATCCTGGCTGAAGCCATGAAAAGAGATGGACGCGAAAGAACGCCAAGTGGAGAAGAGACATTTGCAGACGAGAAAACACCTGAGAAGATGAAGGCATTTATTTCCCTCTACATCATTGCCAGCAGGACAGCCTGACCCAACTACTCCTGTATAATCTTCATTGAGATCACCGTCCGCGCCATCAAGACCAATAGAAACATTTGATCTGCTTGAAGAAGAGAGTCCAATGAAGAAGCTCAGGCCAGCAGTTGACTCAAGCAAGAAAGCAAAATCAATTTGGTGACAGTTGCAGGTGAAGATCTTTATCATGTGGATGAAGAACTATCTCCAGTTGCAGAAGAAGGTGCTGAAGAAGAATGGGATGACGAAAGAGATGAGTCAGACTTAGAAGAAGTGAATGGGCCTGAATGCTTGTGGCGTGACGGAGAACATGAACCAGAAGGAGACCCAGAAGAATGGTTTGACAGAGTAGCTGATGCAGTTGAAGAGAAAAGACTCCAGAAGGTGCATCTGCTAGAGAAGCCAGAAGGTAGCGCAAAAGGAATCAGTTACTTGACAACGAGCAATGTGTATGACTGGAGGATACCGACTTGGAGATGGAATATCAATCAAAAGGTGGAAGAGAAGACCAAGACTAGTTGCAAGAGAATTTGCTTTCGCTGAAGGAAAGAGAGATGACATTTTCCCGCCAGCGACTTCAGGACATGTACTGAAACTTCTACACGCAAAATCAAACTCCTTGCAGAAAGTCAGTGAAGAGGAAGAAGCAAGATACGGAGAAGGAGCGCTCTCAGGTGCTAGGATGTCTTGATGTGAAGGACGCGCCCCTACAAGTTCCACAAGAGAAGCCGTTGAAAGTGAATTTGAGAGGAGAGAAAGTGGCCTGACCTTTTCACAGAGTACCCCACCAGGAATTCAAATACAGGTTCAGCGCTGAGTGTCCACGCCTAGGAAGACATGAGAAGAGCATCGTTTTGACCCATGTGGGTGGCTTGATTTTCACTAAAGACTCACATCAATGAAATCTTTCTTCAAAAGTTTCAAGACAGGTTTGGCGCCAGTGTGAGCAAGATTGAGAAGATTGGTGATAATGGGTCCAGCAAGGTAACTACATCCAGCAGGTGCTGAAAGCCTATGAAGCAACTAGACCAGTCAGAAGCTTTGCATGAACGCGCGAAGATTAGCCCTTTCAGAAGTATTGTTGGATCAAGTATCAGTGAAGGAATTGGCTTCAAGAATGTCAAACCCAACAGCTACTTCGTTTCATCACTTGAAGAAGTTCCTAGGACACTTGAAGAAGACTATGGACTATTGTCCAGTACTTGAATTTCCACAAGCAGGAGAAGGTTATGTCAAGAAAGGAGAAAGCTGTTGGCGCTTGGAAACATTCTCAGACTCAGAGCCCTCTTTTGGTTCAGAAAAAGTTCGCAAATATCAGTTTAGTCTATCTACCTCAGGTCGTCGCCTATCCCTTTTCACGTGCGCAAACGCCCCCACCTTGCGGCGTGCTACAGCCATAGCTGATTCGTAGGTCCTTTACTGTCAATAGACCGCCTTCTTGGAATTTCCATGGAAAAAGAAAGACGAAGGCGTAAAAGGAACAAATAAAAGACATGAAGCATGATTTTTTCGATACATCGAGCGATGCCGGTGCGACGCGCGGAGTGATAAAAAGCGAGCACGTCGAGCAGAGTCGGGGTAGGCCAAGAAGAGGGTGGAGCTTTAGTTTGGTAGCTGGAAGTTTCAGGTCGGAGTCGGTAGATCTAGGTAGCTAATAGCTAGTAGCAAATTAGGAAACTTCGACGCAGGAGAGTTCACGCACTATTCATGTGGTTCCTGGCCACACAGACACGGTGGATTGCCGAGCAGATCCGAGTAGCCAACGTGAATTGATTGCGATTTTCGGACCTTTCCACGCTTTGACGGGCCCAAAGCTCCTTCCCACTCCCCGATCAAGGCATCAGTTCATCAGTTGTTTCACCAAGTTTCCAAAACGAGAAGAAACATGAGAAACGGCCGTAATGAATACGGAAAAACAAGAAAATGCTTCTCAAGAAACATAAAGAAAGAAGAAAGACACACGGAAAAGGATCCCCTTTGGTGTGGTGTCTGGTGTAGGTCCTGGCGGCCATCAAGACCGAAGGTGTGTTAGACTCTGAACGTAAGAAGGACGGAGTGAAAGCGCCGAAGGAAAGCAGAGAGACAAAACGAAAGGACAACTTTATGATTTTCAATTGTGGATAGCAGATTTGTTCTTTCCTATTTGCTTCAAGTGGAGTTCTTTGAGCTCTTCATTTGTTGAGGACGTCGAAGAGGTTCTTGGGTCCATCCCTGACGAATACTTTGCTGAACTCTTCAGGAACCCAGAGAATTAGCGTCCCGTTTCTTTGGCAAAATTCTTGTTCCTTTGCTTGGCTCGTGTTTTTTGCAGCAACGACACGATCTTGCACAGATTGGCGAAGCAGATCACAGACTTTGGAGCCGATGTCGAGGATGAGGAACAGGCTGGCGGAAGTGGAAAGACCGATGCCACTGACTTCGTTCTTTTCTTTGTCCGGACAGAGTCTTCATAAATTGAACTTCGCACATGCTCAAACTTAAAGATAGGAGCATTTGAGGTTTAATTCTAATTTAATAGCGTAATTGTTACTACTAGTAAGGCGCTTGTTACTAGAAGCGATGCACTTGTTCCTAGTAGCTTCTTGTTACTACTAGTAAGGCACTTGTTACTAGTAGCGATGCGCT